AAACCATAAGTTAAAAGGTTCTAATATAATCCTCCTCCCGAAAATATATGGAGAAAACAAGAATTTTGAATGGTAATGGTTCTTAACAACTCATTATTTGTAAGGTCCGCTTCCAAAACACCATAATACATAAGGTTAAAACTTTATCATTAAACGTTTATGTAAAGTTCCATAACCATTTCAGTTGAAGTTTAGCAGGGATTATAAACAATTTTTAACCATTTTCGGTAAGGTCAATTTATGGTTCGCGTTTATGCGGGATTGCAAGGATGTTGCTCGTGAACATTGCAGAAATGTGGTTTACATCTCACTGCAGTCTGAAAAATTATCGAGAAAATCCACCCAAGAAAAAATCGGCTAAGTCCACGTAAACAGTACCACTAAACTGTCATCAGATTGAGGTTAACCCCGACGGTGCAAAACCTAATAGACGAGTGCACGGATGGATTTGACTGCATTCACTCGAAAAAAAGTGACACAACAGCGGGGCCCTGTTTATTAAAAATGAACACATGAATAATACTCGCGTAATATTTGAAACGAACCTATCAACTTTTGTGCACAAAACCTGTTAAGCCCTTTTCGTGCGAACCGAATACGCCCACGCAAACTAACAACACCATCGGGAAGGGGAAATTCTCTTCTTCCCAATAGTGCTCTTGGTTTGCGTGGGCGTACTTTGGTTCTCGTGAAAAGGACCTAGGAAGTTGTTTCCAAAAGTTGATAGGCCATTTTCAAAAGTTAAGCGAGCATTATTCCTGTGTTCATTTTTAGTAAATAGGGCCCCGCTGTTGTGTCACTTTTTGTCGAGTGAGTGAACTCAAATCCATCCGTGCACTCGTCTATAGCGGCAAAGCGGCAATCGCAAATTTTCCAATACACTGAAATTTGTTTGACAACCCACAATGAGCGCGTTTGCGGCAAAAGCATTTTGGACTAACGCACCGGTTGAGCGGCAGCCTGAAAAGTGCTCAACATTTTCAGTTATATTTTTTGCAATTTTGAGTTAACCATAACCTGGACGTGAACCAAATAATCATCCAAGTTCGTAGTATGTAATCAGAAGCATGCATGCGGACATATTTAAGGTACCCCCACATTCGACACATCAAGATACATGATATTTCAAAAATACGACCATTGGTAGCCATATTAAGTACTGAAGACCACGTTGGCCAGATCCGACCTACATCCTCAGATGAAACACCAAACTATATGAGAATTCAAAAATAAGAACATTGGTGACCATATTAAGTACTCAGGACCACACTGGCCATACATGTTCCGGGTGCTCCCGTTGAGTTTCATAAATTACCCGAAATTTTCCTGATGCCAATGGAACTCCTCTGGAGTTCTCGGAACTTTCCTGAAATTCTCTTCAGAATTACTCTGAAGATCTCCTCAGAACTATTTACTGTGAATGTCTCCTCAGAACTACTCTGAAACTCCACAGAAATACTTCTAAGTTCTCATCAGAACTACTCTGAGATTCTCCTCCGAATTTCTCTGAAGTTCTGCTCAGAATTAATTTAAACTTCTCCTCCGAACTATTCTGAAGTTCTCCTCAGAGTTATTTTGAACGGCTCCTCAAAACTACTCTGAAGCTCTCTACAAAATTACTTTGAAATTCTCCTCAGAACTAAGTTCTCGTCAGAACTATTCTGAATTTCTCCTTAAAACTACTTTAGATCTTCGATGAATTTTTCATCATTTTCCTGAAATGTACAAAGTTGTCCGAATATTCTCTTGAAGATCTTTAAACTTTCCCGCTAGTCGGGACTTTCCTTAAGATATCTTTACTCCCCCAAAAGTTCTTTTAACTTCTCAATAAATTAGAGTTTTTTGGACTTCCCTAAAATTCACGGAACTTTCGTTAAGCTGCCGCAGTTTTCCTGATATTCATTACTCTTCTCCAAAGCTCTGAATATTTCCCCACGGTTCAAGGTACTTCTGATTGCACATCGCAAGGTTACGTGCATGCAAAGAAAACCAAGGCATTGTATGCACAGGTGAAACGGGAACCTTATTTGTACGATGGTGCAAACATTATCGCGCATACGGTACAGTACTTGTACAAATCGCAATCGTTATTTTAACCTGCATTTGAAGGAGAAATATTTTGTTATGGTGTCGTCCGTCATTACCTGATATAATTTAGGTAGTCCTTGATATAGGTATTAAGTGTGCTGTTGATTCTGAATTAGCCATGAAGTTGCGATTATTATAATCCAAATGCATTATTGTCGCTGGGCCTGGAAATACTGGTTGATTGATGTTATTGTGGAGGTGCAGGTTCGTCAGTGGTGTAGGTTTCCTCTGGGTGGAAGAATTGTTGTTTTCCAGCAGTTTTAGTTATTGTTGGTCAACGCTGTTGCAGCTAATAGAGGCACTATCATGTTTCTTGAGTCACATTGATATTTATTCGGCTGAAAAACGTCTGTAGCTGATGCTGGCACTAGTATAAACCGGTGGAAACTAACGATTTTAAATTGACTCACTATTAGCCTGACTAGCCTATTGGTTCCAAGCAAATCGGTTAACGTACCCCATTCTGACAAAAATTCTAGAACTACACTATGTTTGTTTTGATTAGTTATGAAAGTTTGACAGATAAAATGAGGGGTTCGTGGATTTTCCTATTATTCGAGGGTTGCATCGATTAGCTTGGGACCGAAGAGAGTACAACAGCTGAGTCAAAAAGTTAAGCACGTTTCTTCGGGAATTTCTGGTCTTAGAGTTACCTCTATGCTAATATCCTTGATGATAGTTTTCATTTCTCCAAGTTGATCATTTAGATGCAATTCTTGGAGTACGGTAACTATTCGCCCGAGATGGTTGAAGTAGATAAGTAGCAGCTAACTTGCACCAATCAAATATGATGGTTACAATGCACAAAACAACTACAGAAACGGTCATTGAATCTGATTACAGGACTACGAATAAAGATGCATACACCGAATACACGTCGCGTATACTGTAGTTTCTACTATTTCCTACATTCACCGATTTAAATGTTCATCAGTTGTGGAAACAAAACAAACGCCTGGTTGCCAGGCATAGCAAAAACATAAGAATTGAAGTGTCAACATAGTGGCACATCGGCACAACGGAGCACATCGTAACATCTTGGTTTGTTTTTCGTCGATCTTGTTTTCCGTGCTGAGCACCAATGCTACCGACGCCAAGGAGGCAGCTCCCACACTTGGACCCTACCTATCGACCCATCAACTCATGAACCGGGAACCAACTGCTTTACTTCCCTTCCGAAGGAACGCGTGTTTTATGCCTCAGAACATCCCGGCGGCGCCGACTGGGATTGAACCCAGGCCTGCTGCGTTGAGAGGCAATCACGCTTACCAGTCGTAACACTTTGAGACACACTTTAAAAAAATAGCACAAGGGATAGTACTATCCTTCTGGTTAAACTTCTTTTTCTTTCTCGCATTTCAAGCTTATTGCTAACCGCATATTAGCTTATTCCATACTCTCAACTAAGTGTTCTAGATGCACTTCCCCAGTTATTAATTGAGAACTTTCGATGCCTGTTTCACAGACAAACAGACGAAGCTCTTCATTCTGTATTACCGTTCATGCATTTAACGACTGATTTGGATTGATTCAGTCGCTAACCTAAATCGAAAATTAATTTGATGATAAATCATCACTATGGCCCGGTGGTCGGAGGTGAGGCCAGCAGCTCATTGCTCTATTCATACTGCATTGGACATCCCGTATCCAACATGTGTGATGTAGAACAGAGACGAGTTGTGTTTGTTCACATCGACCGATAATGAGTGGTTGCGGTACAAGCACATATCGTCGGTAATAGACGATTGTTGTGTATTGAGAACGCTTGCGCAAAAAGACTAAGGGAGGGAAACGGATTCGAAACTCATATGTCATTAGCCAAATACATCCGTGGACCATAGGTCCACCGTTGTATAATTGGCAATGCACCCGTGTACTGAATGGGAATTGTGGGTTCGAATCCCACCGGTGCCCTTAGATTTTTTCGCAAATTTTCTCACACGCACGTCTCTTGCCGATGATATGTGCTAACCTCTCAGTATCTTCTAACTGTCGCATATAACACTGATTTGGATATTATAATTTCCGCGAACTACTCACCAGCGCTGGCATTGGATCATTTTGACGTTTCTATATATACTGTTTACCTTGCATACAACATTGCTTGCGACTTTGCAAGCTAGCTTGATTTTTGTGAGAAACTAGTGAGAGGTCATTACTGAGGTCCTATTTTTATAGAAAAAATGTTTTCAAGAAAAACTCATCGAAAAAGTTACGTCTGTTTGTCTGTAACTGTACCATTTTTGTTGTAGTATTAATTGTACGGCAAGTGCAATGATACTCTATGCACAGCGATTTCGAGAGATTTTCAAACCCGAAAAATTGCTAGACCGGACCGGGAATCGAACCCAGCCACCTCCAGCATGGCTTTGTAGCTGAACCTTTACCGACTGCAATAATTATGACTCACTGTGTTTCATAACAAATCACAAAGGGTGGATCTGTGTAACTTATGTACCCATAAAGTATTTTCGAAAAATAAACTCATCTGCTGGTGATGTTTTGTGATTCCCTCTGGGGGGAAAATGCATCATTATCAAGTATGCACCCCCGCGATTTGTTCAAGTTCAAGACTGTTGTGCAACATGACTGTCATTCCGAGAACTGCTTATCACTGTCGACAACGGCTCAAGTTCACAGACACAAACCACATTAACTGCACGTTAAGCCAGAGATACGTACTTACTGTACTGTACCTCTCTCTGTATGACCTCATGAACTTTCGGTCGTAAGATTGCGCCACCTCCGAGCAACCACACTGAACTGATAACGACTCAAGCGCTAAGACAAAAACGCAGTGCAGTTATATAACTCCGTCCGGCCTAATCCGCAAGAGCACCCGTAGCGCTTACTCATCTTAGCATTTGCGATAACAACTTTCCTTTTCTTCTTGCTTCGGCTTTCTTTCGCAGCATCCTGCAAAACCGGCTGCCCAACACGTAAGTCCTCAACTCATCGCCTATGTTTGCAATCAACCATCCCTAACCGATTGTCTTAACCTTTGTTTCTGCAGCAAACAAATCGTCCAAGTATACATTCCAACCGGGAAATGTCTACAGCTACGATCTGGACAGCTTCGTTCAGGTGCAGCTAACCTCCGAAGAAGTCGATGCCCAACAGACGACTCTGAAAGTGGACGGCAAGGTGGAAATCTACGCCGGAGACAACTGCCAGTACACGCTGAAGGTCCTGTCGCTGACCACCTTCGCGCCCGATGGCATGAAGTCCAACTTTGGCGTTGACATTACCAAACCCGTCCAGTTTACCCTGTCCAACGACGAGCTCTCGCCGGAAATCTGCACCGAGGAAAGTGATAAGGACTTTTCGCTGAACGTCAAGCGTGGTATCATTTCACTGCTGCAGTCTGCCGAGGGCAAGTCCTACGAAACGGACGTCTTCGGTGTGTGCCCAACATCGTTCTCAAACTTTGTCACCGGAGGTGCTACCGTAGTGAACAAGATCCGCGATCTGTCCGGATGTGGTTACCGTGAATCGCTGAGCAACAGCCTGGTTAGCAGCATTGTCAACGCGAAGGCTGTGAGTAAATTAGGATCGCTCGGAAATTTCTTTCAATACTCATAAACTTCTTTTAATTCCAGGGCATCAAATCGACTCCACTGCTGACCAGCATCTACAACAGTCAGCAAACGATCAAAAATGGTCTGCTGGATTCGGTCAAGCTCGGAGAAGAGTACAAGTACGTGCCGTTTGCGAAGCTCAACTCTGGTGCCCAGGCTAAGGTCACCACCAAACTGACATACACTGGAACCAAGTCCGGAGCAGCCCCAGCCTTGACTGCCGCAACTCCACGTTCGGTCATCTTCGAGAACCCCCAGTCCGACTCTCAGGGTAATCTGGAGACGATCAAGCAGGAACTGAAAACCGTTGTGGATTCATACAGCCAGAACAACGTTGGCAAGCTCACCGCTAGTCACTTTACCGAGTTGATCCATTTGATGCGTTTCTCCAAGAAGGATGATCTGCTCTCGCTGTACCAACAGGTTAAGGCCGGCAACGCCCATAAGAACAAGTCTCTGGCTCGTAAGGTGTACTTTGATGCCCTGTTCCGCGTCGGAACCGGTGCATCCGTCGAAGCTCTTGCAAATCTCTACAAAAACAAGGAAGTCTCGGATGATAAAGAACAGAAACTTCTGTTTGTTTCACTGAACCTGGTCACTTCTATGACCAAGCCAGCCCTGAAGGCCGCCAAACTACTGCTCGATGGTAACCCGACTCGTGAAGCCTACCTCAGCGTTGGAACTTTGGTTAACAAATACTGCCAAAAGTTTGGATGTGAAGCGGCTGATGTTAAGGAAATCTCCGATAAGTTTGCAGTTAAGCTCGGCAAGTGTCAACCTGCCAACCGCAAGGAAGAGGATATCGTCGTAGCTGTTCTGAAGGGTATTAAGAACTCCAACACGCTGGTTTCTCCACTGTTGGACAAGGTCGTCCAGTGCGCTTCGGATAAGTCATCTGCTCGTGTTCGTGTAGCCGCCTTCCAGGCCTTCCCAGCTGCATCCTGTAACAAGAAGGTTGTCAACTCTGCTCTAAACTTCCTGAAGGACATCAATGGAGACTCGGAAATCCGCATCCAAGCGTATCTCTCGCTTGTTGAATGCCCATCGGCTGCCGTTGCCAACGAAATCAAGGCACTGCTGGATAACGAGAAAGTCTATCAGGTCGGTTCGTTCATTACCACCCATCTGGCTAGCCTCCGTGCTTCAGCTGACTCAACCCGGGAGGCAGCTCGTCATCACTTTGCTAACCTGCGCACGACCAACAAATTTCCATTCGATTTCCGTCGCTATTCCTTTAACCGTGAGTTCTCGTATGCCGTTGAATCGCTTGGATTGGGCGCCAGTGCTGATACTAGCGTGGTCTACTCGCAAAAGAGCTTCCTGCCAAAGTCAGTAGCATTTAACTTTAGCACGGAAGTGTTCGGCAACTCGTTCAACGTGTTCGAAGTCGAAGGTCGTCAGGACAATTTAGACCGTGTGGTTGAGCACTATTTTGGCCCGAAGGGATTCTTCCGTGGACTGGATTTGCAATCTGCTTTCAACACCCTCGTCGAGCAATACGGAAAGCTTTCCGAGAAGGCCCAAAGCCGGTTCCGCCGCGGACTCAAGGAGGATGTCAAGGCTTTTGCCAAGGGAGTGAACATGCAGAACAATGCCCTGGAAGATTTCAATCTGGACGTGTCGGTCAAGTTCTTTGGATCTGAGCTGTTCTTCCTGAGCTCTGGTGAGCATATTCCAAGCACCCCTGAGGAGTTTTTGGAGAAATTGCTCGAGTGCTTCGACAAGTTCTTGGAAGGCGCTAAGAAGTATCACCATGTGTTTGAACAGCATGCCCTGTTCGTGGATTCTGATCTGGTGTATCCTACTGCAGCTGGTCTGCCTCTGAAGTTATCATACGAGGGAACTGGTGTCGCTCGTTTGGAAACTAGCGTCGAAGTTGACATCAAGGACATTGTCAAGGACTACAAGAACACCAAGTTCAATGTTAAGCTGGTTCCAAGCGGAAGCTACGAAGTGACTGGAACACTGAGTGTTGATGCCTTCACTGTGAGCACTGGCCTTCAGCTTTCGGGTACGGTTCACTCATCCACCGGCAGCGCTGTCAATTTTGCTCTGCTCGATGGTGGAAAGTCTTACGAACTCACGATTGATTCTCTCTTGAAGAAGCAGGAACTGTTCAGCTTCAATAGCAAGCTCGTTTTCGTCACTCGTGAGCGTGGCAATCAGCTGATCTCCCTCCCGCTGAAAATGAATCAGCAGGTCAAGGAGTTCAAGGAATGCTTCGATAACCTGTACCACGTCGTTGGAGTTACCCTATGCGCTTCCGCCGGACAGAAGCAAGTACCTGGAAAGGCTATGATTCCATTGGATGGAGAGTACCACGCCGAACTCTACTTGGAGGTTGATCCCAAGTATCACTTCACTGGAAAGTACGACGATTCGGACAAGCAGCACCAGAGCTTGCTGTTGACCTTTGATACCCCTGGAACTGACAAGAACCGTGCCACCAGTTTGAAATTGGAGAGCTTCTTCAAGGGTGATGCTTACGTGAAGGCTACTCTCGCATCGCCACTTAGAAATGTCGATGTCACCGTTGGATTGAACAACAACGACAAGGAAGCTTCACTGTACGCTCTGGCTCACAACGGACCCGATGAGTATCTGGCCAAGATCGGGTTTGAGAAGGGTGGATCTGCTGACCGACAGGAGTACGTACCGATCTTTACCGTGAGATCCCCGAGTGGAGATGCCCAAGTTTCGAAGGTCGTACAAACCACCGGAAAGATTGTAGTCGAGAAGGCCGATGGTGGTGCCACCAAGTACAACCTGGAAAATGTTGAATGGATTAGCCCGTACGCTCCGAAGACCACAATCAACGGATTCGTACTGCAGAATGGACCAAACTTCGATACTGATCTGGCCGTCGTTGTTGGTACCAGCAAGAATGCCGTCAAGGGACACCTGGACTTTAGCCCGAAGCACGTGAATTTTGACCTCGAGAAGAAGGCCGATGGCGATGCCGAAAAGAACTTCAATGTGAAGCTGGCTCTGGCGTACACTGAGAACTCGGTAAGGCCAGGTTTAATTAGACATGTTTAAACTAGAGTACACTCAATATTTATTTTTCTTTTGTAGTTCAAGAACGTTTTCGTCTTTTTGTCGGGCAAGGACTTCAACAGCCCTACTCACCGCTATGAGTTGAACCAGAATGCTGAATTTGAGATCGAGGACAAGAAACTGCAATCGCTGAAGATGTCGAACAAGCTGCAATTACCGAAACAGTTGGTTCGCTTCGACTTTGCCACTAGCAAGAACCAGTTCAAGGTGGACGGAGAGTACGGATACGACAAGTACAAGGTCGCTGCCAACGTAGATGCCAAGTACAACGAGAAATCGGCTGGAGACTACGACGTGACTGTTGGAGGATCACTCAACAAGCACTTCTTCAAGTTCACCTCGAAGCGCTCGATAGATGCTGCCAAGAGCAAGTTCCAGAACCGTCTGACGGCCAGCACCGGAACCAAGATTGATCTGAGCGGAGTTGCGACCAACAAGTTCAGCGATAAGGACGGTGAGCTCAACCTGGAGGGTTTGTTCGTTGCTGTTGAAAAAGCTGATCCCTACAAGTGAGTACAGATATTTCATGTTTTACCTAGGAGTTCTATAAATTTAACATAAATCTGACGCACACAATAGGCTGAATCTGTTCCTCCAGCTGAGCCCATCGACTGTGCTCTCGAACGCCAAGGTTCTCGTTGGAAAGGATGAATTTGCAACGTATGATCTCAAGCTCGACCGTACCGAAGCCGCCAATGGAAAATTCACCGTAAGTCTATCGGTTTCAGCCCAATGAATCGAGAAATTAACCCGTTTTTTGTTTGTTCCTACAGTTTGCTGTCAAAGACTTCCTCGACGGAAACGGTGAATTCAAGGCCAACAAAGGACAAGGTGACGGAACTGCTCTGGTCCAATTCCTGAAACAGGATCGCAAACTCAAGCTGGACACTAAGTTCAAGATCGCCGCTCCGGTGTATGATGTCGTCACGGACTTCTACTATGACTTTGAGAAGGATAACACCAAGAAGGTGCACTTTGATACTAAGAACAAGGTAACTAAGAGCAGCTTTGACAGCAAGAACAAGCTGGAAGTCTTCTCCGAGACATACGAATTCAACGTGCAAGGACAGCAAAACGGACCTGTCAATGATGGAGCAACCAACGGAAAATTCTCTCTGACCCTGCCAACTGGACGTCAGCTGTCGGGAGATCTCAAGCGTGAAATTAACGGAAAGGATGACAAGAAGGTTACCGGAAGCATCACAGCTAACTTTGTAGACAAGCTGCCAGGTGGAAAGCAGCAGACCGTGTCTTTGACTGGATCTCTTAAGGATGGTGACTTCAAGTCTCGTTTCTTCGATATGGTTCACAATGTGAAGTACACCAACATTGATGGAAAGAGCCTGGATGTCCAGCTAGATACCAAACACCTGCCAGCTGGACACTTCAAGACCGCTGCCTTCCACGTCAAGGCCCAGGGTTCGCTGTTACCTCAGGCTGGAGAATTCAGTTTCGATTTGGATGAATACTGCGAGTATCACGCTGTCTACCGAGTAGGTGGAAAGTACGGAAATGACTTCGATGGTACCGTCAGCGGAAACTACCACGTTGGAAAGCCTGGAAAGCCACATACTCATGATCTGAAGGCTACCGTGAACGTTCCTCAAGCTCCTGTAAAGAATCTCTTCGTTGAGTCCAAGGGTAGCTATCTGGAGCCGGACAGTGATGCCGGATTGTACGAATTTGAATATACTGGCACGTTCGGTTATGGTGACAAGAAGGTCGCTTTGGCTACCACGGCTAAGGGCAACGTAAACCATGGAACTGGCAGCGTTAAGCTGAACCTACCCGAAACCGATCCATTCGCTGCCGATGTGTCGTACAACTACGAAGGCAAGGAAGATGGACCACTATCGACCAAGGGAACCCTGAAGATCGACTATGGAAAGGGTAAGACTTTGGAGTTCAACGGTGATGCCAAGGCCAACGGATTTGACGATATTTCCCTGCATGCCACTATCAAGTCTGACTTCGCCAAGGTAAAGAACGTTGAGCTGACCTTCAAGCACGTCAAGTCCGGTGAAAACGCTTACCACACCAAGCTGAATTTGGTGGCTGACGGAAAGGCTTACAGTGTAGATAACGCCGTTGTTCTGTCCGAAACTACCCCATCTGTAGACTTCACCCTTGGATACCCGGAATCAACTGTTAAGATTTATGGAGGATACCAGCTGCTCAGCGATCGTGCTTTTAAGGCTAACACTAAGGTGCAGAACTTTGGTGACTTCAACCTGGACGCTAACGTTGAAGCCAACTTCCAGAGCTACGAAACATTCTACGCCAAGGTTTACGTTGATGCTCCAAAATTGGATGCCAAAAAGGTCACCGTCGAACTCAACTCCAAGCCAGGAAACACCGGCAAGGGTGTTGAATTCAAGGCTTCATCCGATGGAAAGAACATTCTGAGTGGATTCGCCGACTACTCCGTCAAGGAGCAGGGCAAGAGCACTATCATCGAAGGCCAAGGAAACGTTAAGCTATACGACAAACAGCAGACTGCTTCGTTCAAGCTTGTTCGTGAGAAATTGCAAGAAGCTGGATATGCCTTCACTCTGTCCGGATCGGTGGGCAAGAACAGCATTTCGACGGAGATTCACGTCAAGCCAAATGATTTCAAATTGAAGCACACTGTTTGCGACGAGAAGAAGAAGTGCGCCAATGTGGAAGTTCAATCCAAGTTGGAGCGTACCGGAGAGAAATTCAACCACGAAGCATTGATCTCGGTCGACTTGCAGCAGTTGGGATATGTATACGAATTTGGACTGAACTCCAAGACCAGTGGAAACGGATTGACTCTTGATCACACCACCGATGTTGAATTGAAGGAAAAGAAAAAGCCCAAGTACCAATACCACCTGTACCTCCACCCCAACAGTGCTGGAGCTAGCCTTGTTCTGCCAACTCGGTCTGTCGTTGTTGAAGGCGTGTTCCAATATCCAAAGGACAAATTCGGTCAATACGATAGCACTGTGTCATTCTACTTGGACAAAAAGAACTCCCCGAACAATAAGGCCACCTTCGGATTCAACGGAGAAACTAAACTGGTCGGATCGGCTGGAGTGAGTGGTAGCGGATCTCTCAAGTTCTCGCACCCAACCGTTAAGGATCTGGTTGTGAGCGTTTCGGGTATTTTGGACGGAGACAAGCAGACTGCCGACGGAAAGTTTGAGCTGGATGTGTTCAAGAATGCCAACGATAAGATCGTTGCCCATGCCAAGTACGTCAACAGTGATCAGAGCTTTAAGGGCTTCAACGTGAGCTCGGAAGTCAGTGTGTTCAGTAAGGGTCTTGGATTCAACTGTGGCTTCAACGGACACTCCGCTCTCTCACTGGCCACCAAGCAGTTGAGCTCCTCCGGTTTCATCGATCTACCATTTGAGGACTTCCGCTTCGGAACTTACCTGTTTGCCAGCCCTGAAGAATTCGACTTCCTGCTCAAGCGATTCAATGAAGAACTGGTTCGTGCTCACGGTACCTACGATGTCAAGAAGCACAAAGCTGATCTCACCTCCACTTTCAAATTCGTGCCAACTAGGCCAGTTGTACTGCAAACCACTGTAAATGGTCTGTCGTCTGCCAAGTTCTCGCTTACTCAGGATAAATTCTTCGTTGTTGATGGAACATTCACTGTTGACAAGACTGCTACTCTAAAGGTTGTTGGAAACGAGAAAGAACTGCTGAACGCAAAGATCGCCCTGGATACCACCCATTTCCTCACCACTGAGTACAAGGTTAACGAAGAAAACGCCAAGAGTTTCCTGCAAGCCTTCAACAAGCAACTGCAGGCTGACCTGGAAACTAACAAGGCAGAATTCGAGAAGAAGTACGCTAAACTGACCGCCGATGTCAATAAGGTCGTTAAAAACGTCGTCGCTTCACTGCCTGATTTCAGCAAATTCCAAGCAGACTACACCGAACAGTTGAAGAAGATGCAGGATGAAGTGCTCCAGGACCCAACCATCAAGCAGTTCTTCGAATTCGCTACCAAGATCTTCGCTGCCATCAACGAAATTGTTGCTCAACTGACCCAGGTCTATGCCGAAAACTTCAAGAAGATTTCAGCCGTCGTCACCGATGTCGTTGCAAAACTGACCGAAACATTCAACTCCAAGATTCTCCCAGTTCTGAATGAGCTCTATGGCAAAGCTGAAACGGTTGCGTACGCTGTGTACCAAGAAACTGTAAAATTGGTCGTGGCCGTGTTTGAACGCACTATCAAGTCATTGAAGGCCTTCGAGGAAGACTTCAACAAGGTGGCCAAGAGCGTTTCAGAACTGTTCAAGAGCTTCGCTCAAACGTTTAACAAAGCAGTTTCAACCCTGGACAAGGAATTCAAGGAACTGTACAAGCTGATCCAGGAATACTTCAATTCGTTCGACGAGTTCAAGGTGCTCAAGGAGACGTTCAAGGAGTACTTCGAAGGTGCTGATCGATATGCATTCCAGTTGCTGAAGGAACTATTGACTCTGGTTGAAGACTTGTACCCAGTCCCAGAGATCAAGACGTTCACGTCCTCGGTCAACCAGTACATAACCAACAAGCTGGACAATAAGAAGGTGAACGATATTGAAGAGCTGAAGAACATCTTTGTACATTTCGTCAAGGCTGTGAGCCTGTTATTCGATAGATTCACTTCGACTATTTCAACTTCTCTGGAAGAGCCAGGTTTTGCGGGTGGATTCCCATCGTTCATGACGTTCAAGGTCTTCCCATACGTCAGCAGTGTAAAATTCAGTCCATTCAACTACCTACGTAACGAGAAGTTCTACTCACTGCGCGACTTCCTGTATCAATTCCGCCCATACGCATGGAATCCATTTGCCGTCCTTCCACCATTCGAGATGCATGGAGAGCTTGCCGATGGAAGCCACTTCTTCACCTTCGATGGACAGCACTACACCTTCCCAGGAAGCTGCCAGTACATTCTCGCCTCCGACTTTGTCGATGGAAACTTCAGCATTGTAGCTGACATCCAGAACGGAAAACTGAAGTCGATCTCCTTGTTTGATAAGGATGTTGTTCAACTGAACGACAAGGGCGTGGTAACGCTGAACGGTAAGGCTACTGATCTACCACTGCACAAGAACGACGTCCATGTTTGGAGACAGTACTACACGGTGAACCTGTTAACGACCTACGGAGCGAGCATCATGTGTACTACCGATCTGAAGGTTTGCCACTTCACCGTGTCTGGATTCTATCTCGGAAAGGTACGTGGTCTGCTGGGCAACGGAAACAACGAGCCGAACGATGATTTCGTTTTGCCAAATGGAAAGAATGCTCAAAGTTCGACCGACTTTGCCAACACCTACAAGGCGACCAAGGCGTGCGCTGCTGTCGCTGATCCAGGACATGCCAAACACGAACACGCCAGCCCAGTGTGCGCCAAACTGTTCGGTTCGGACAGTTCGATGAGATATTGCTACTTCTTCAAGGACCAGACCAACTACCGCGAAGCCTGCGAACATGCCGTCCATGGTGCCGAAAATGCCGAGCAAGCTGGCTGTGCGATCGCATTGGCATACGCTTCGTCGTGCCGTTTGGAACTGATCCCTGTCAGCGTGCCCGCTCAATGCCAGGCATGCTCAGTTGGAGGCAAGAATATTGATGTCGGAGATGCGTTCAGCGTCAAGTCCCCGCAGAAACAAGCTGACGTTGTATTCGTTGTGGACACTTCGATCGGAACAATGCTTGGTGAACTGGTACAGATAACGATCAATGAACTGCGCAAGGAACTGAGAACGAACGGCATTACCGATGTGAACGTGGTTGTGCTGGGCTTCAACAGAAACCAGAAGTACGTGAGCTTGTTCAGTAACGGTGGAAACTTGGACTACACGGGTAAGCTAGGACAGGCCGATATCAGTGGGCCGGAGAACTGCAAACCATTGGTAACTGGAAACAAGAACGTTGACGAAATCCTGAAGACCCTTCACGAGTTGCACGAGAAGGTCGCCGAAGATTTGGGAGTTACACCGGATTCCCGTGCGTTCATTGAGGCTCTGCAATATCCGTTCCGTGCTACCGCTAGCAAGCACATCGTTCTGGTCCACTCGGACGATACGGAGAAGGTACCCAATCCGGTAAGTGTGTGTGTGTTGAATGCATGGAAAGGAACAATTCTAATGGAGATTTTCGGTTTCGGTAGGCTCGTGCCATCAAGTCTGTTTTGGCTACCCTGGATTTGAAGGTGAAGGGTATTGGACTGCACGTCGTAACGCCAGTTAAGAACCTCGGAATCACCAGCAGCAAGGACTCGAAGAAGGTGAAGGAAGTTGTCGGTATGTATACGGAACTAGCTTAATACCTGATCGTAATTGAAATGTAATGGCCAATCTGTTTCGCTTGCAGGTTTCAACTCGAAGCAGGCATACACCGTGAAGGATAACCCGAAGCGTGTTTTCGGATCAACCGAGTTGAAGAACACCCTGAAGTTCGACTCGGATCTGCTGGTTGATATGGTTAGCAAGAACAACGGATTCGTATTCGTGTTGCAGAATTTCAGCGGACAGAAGCAAGCCAAGGATAAGAAGGCTTTCGTTACGGTGATGACAGCGGCCCTCGCAGAGCACATTGCTCGAACGGAGGTCAGCAGCGACTGCGTGTGCAAGCTGCGAAATGGTCTGCACGCAGAAGAATCCTGCGAAGCTAGGGAAACCAGATATCTACCACCAGTGGTAAGTGGAACTGAAGTGGGAGTAAATAAACAAAAGGGTTTTTCACAATATTCTCAACCTTTGCAGAAGAAAACCGGTGCCAAGGGATAAGCTGCATAGTCATTGGCAGCTACAAGGGGAGAGATGACTTCCAGCCATATTTATTATCTCCGTCTAGGAATAGAACTGTGTATCATCCCAATTGCCATTTTAGCGGTACGATCCTAGGGAAAAGTAAATCTGTATTGTAGTACTTCAGTAAAGAAAAAAAAAACAAAAGATGCGAATCGAAATAAACGAGTGAATTTTTGTATTTAAATCCGGTGAGTTTTGCGAGAGGCCTTCAATCCGAAATCTGTTCGACTCGACCGTTATGCACCGGTTGCGGTGGATGCAGTGCACCGTTGCCTGAATCAATAATTAATCAGAATCCTGTTAATTTATTAAATATACATTCCATAACGAGTATTTATTCATCGATTTCCATACCGATGTGGGGTGGCGCATGAATTGGAACGGATTGGTAATGTTGATGGGTGGAAATGGGGGGGGGGACAGAAGGGCTCTCTGGTTGGTAACGAACAAACCGGAAAATAATGCACCACGAGCGTTTAATGACAAAACGAAGCACGTTTTGTAAATTAATTGAGCTCGGTAACACCTTTTCCAGTGATTTACCTGATGTTTCTTCCACGTTTCACTAGAAGGTAAGGGTAGGGGTGACCTGGACAGTGATGCCAGATATTGTATTTTTCTCAATGTACTGTGAAATTCTAAGGAAATACCGCATTACATTATTGGCAATATATTTCATTGCACGCATTACCCACCACAATCTACTCCAGAGTTAGATCGTTACGATACGATGCTCCAATATTTCAATACTAAGCACTCCACCGTTGATCTCCCCACCATTTAAGTGGAGACTTTTTCATGCAACCTTCTGAAAGTTCAATAACTTGATCTTGAGATTCATGTTCCCAAAAAGATCGACTTACTCGATCTACAAACTGGATGAAAGCTAGATCTAGGATCAAATCTAGCCCACATCATGGAGACGTTCCTCGTTTAGACACTTCAACTTCACAAGATTTCTTCGACTCCATGATCTGCCAGATTTCTAGCTCTGTTACCCTGCTGAATGCCACCCTCCAATGGAGTTTTGTGAAGAACTCTACGCTGCATTTACAATCCAAAATTCGACAGAGCGATGCGTAGTTTTCCTCCCTAAAATGAACATCCCCAAAATCGTATTTGGAGATTCTTAATCCACTTCCGTACGCCAATCCCTCAGCATGGACCGCTGGCTGATTCCAGTACCAAATACGCTTATTCAAAACATAATATAAGCATCTAAGGTACATGATGTGGCTCAACCCTTTTTTACTCGCGCTGTTGTACTTTGTAACACATATAAGTTTTCAAATGCTATTTTGTTGTGTACTGGAGAACACCACCTTTCAACAGGCGATGATTGAATAAACACCGTTTGGTGAGACCGGATGAAAATCAACTTTGAAATCTGTGTTAAGGAAATCGCTTTTCGCAGACAATTGGAGATAATTTTAATTATCATAGCAACAGTTATATAACGGCGCCGGTGGTGTAGTGGTAAGCGTAATTACCTCTCACCCCAGCAGGCCTGGGTTCAATCCCAGTCGGCGCCGCCGGGATGTTCTGAGGCATAACATCTCTGATCACGCCTTCCTTCGGATGGGAAGTAAAGCCGTTGGTCCCCGATTCATGAGTTGATGGGTCGATAGGTAGGGTCCAGGTGTGGGAGCTGCCTTCCTTAATCTTAAGTCTTAATTTTAACAGATTCGTAGAAAAAATTCCTATCGATTAGCGTATCAAGAACTAAAATCCTTCATCTCTGGATTAAAATCAAGCAATTTTCTTGCGCGACTGACTTTGGTTTTTTTTAAATTACATCCCCAATGTTGCCTTAAAGTACATGGTATGTTAGATTTAAACATATCTAGATAGAGCAGCAATTAGCCGTAACAGTTTTTCTAAACAGTGACTACTCTCGATGACTTTAAGGAATTCAAGGCACGCCTACGCAAACTAACATTACCGTCAGGTAGGGGAATTATTACAAGACATCATCGAAAGAAGTTAGTGATTACAAAAGATGGTACGCCCTATTTCCAGGTCTATCTTGATATGGAAACTGACATCCGATTGATGTTCTTGACAAATGTCTAAAAAATACTCTTTTAAAAATTTATGGTGACCGTTTTGTCGTGATGGTTGAGTAATGCAGAGCTATTAGGGTGTTGAACACAGATGAGGCTGATGAGCTGTATGTTGTGAGGGGAATGAAGGTAACGCGATTGGCATAGATGGCCCACAAAAACTCACGAAGAGCTACTGATTCCGATCAATAGCGGTGCGGCTTCTTCCTCCTTCTATAGATGGTTGCAGGCAGCTTTTCGTTGTGTACTTGAGAACAATGTTCAAAGCCACGCTCCAAAAGCTTTGCTGCTGCTGCTGCTGCTGATGCCGACGACCGGACACCACCACACAAGGTGATTGGAACTGAATCCAAGGCCAGCCTTGATAGCTAGCTGCTTGCTGGGAGCCTTTCGTTGTGTACTGGAGAACACCATCACTCACCACCACTCACCACGCGGTGATTGAATAAACATCGTTTGGTGAGACCGGATGGAATTCAACTTTGAAATCTGTGTTAGGGAAACCGCTTTTCACAGGTAATCGGTGATAATTTTAATTATCATAGCAACAGTTGTACATTCGTGCAATTTTTAATAGTGACATTTTGAAAAGTGATAATTTCTTAAATTTAACAGTTGCGTAGAAATATTTGTGATCGATTGATGATAAAATTATTGAAATTGATTCAGGGGCTGCTGAGTTATTAACGTTCAAAAGCTTTCATAATTTTGTTACATGTTCCATTTTCGGTTTTCACAAAGTGTACCCCCATATAGAATTCACAGACGTAGTCCTACGTCAATAAGTAGAATGAAGGCTATTTGGGACGATGGTTACATTCTTTTCTCCCACAGGTAGGCAAACCATGGTTAGAAGGTTTTAACATGAGCCGCGACTTTACACGCGTTATGCCAAGGCTTATATTCAATCACTGTTCGTTAGACTCGCATTTCTATCGAATTGGGCTCTCAGGCAGCAATTTATGTGCGTATAGCAGTGGTTCTCATGATATCGAGCATGTTGTTGTACCTTACACCGTGATGCCAGATCTGAGTTATCCACATCCTTCAGGGTCCAACAAAAAACAACCCACGATACGCGTTAGAGATGTCTTGGCAAGCCAAGATCTCGACTATTTGAATTTAGTTTATGTGTTTTTAAAACGGATTGATCTGAGGATTTAGTAGTTGGTGTCACCTTGTGTTCTCCCAAGTTGTTAGCTCCCCATCGGTGTACCCCCATGTCTGTCTTTTTCATTAGTATGTCGCTTATATAGTTCGAGATCAAGAGCACATTGCTCTCAAAACCTTGTGTTCTCAATCCCTACCCTGCCGTTCATTTCGTTCGAAAACAAGATTCCTGGAGTAGGATTTCTAATTTAAGTTCCTGCATGAAATGCAAATTTATTGAAACAATTTAATTGACTTTAATTTCGTCAAGATAGTGGTGGACAATGGTTGCAAATTGCTATCAAATGGCAAGAATTATTAACCCATTTCAGAGCCTGTTGCGGTCGAATATTCAGAAAATGTCTGTATACTGATGTTTATGTTTATATATTATTTTATCTAGGAAAAATCACAGGGGTTTTCCATAAAAAAAAACATCGCATTTCATGCAGTATTTCACATATGGTTTATGTTTCTGCAGGTTTCTGCAAGAAATTTTCAATTTTTTGATGAAAACACACTTAAATACTTCTATAAAGGGTGTCCACGATGAAATTGCCACACTATGAAATTGCTCTAACTTTTTAACCGTTGGGTAGAATTTAATGAAAATTTGGGTGGATTTAGTTCATAGTGCATTATTTACATCCTGCAAGTTTTAAAGTCCTGTGATCAAAACTCGCGGAAATGGAGTCGAAAGAACAGCTCGTGCGTGATAAAATCTTGCGCATTCATCACGAGAACAAGGATCTCTCGCATCGTTCCATCGCTAAAACGTTGGGAATCGCGAATTCCACGGTGTCGCGAGTGATTAAGCGGTTCGAGGAACGGTTGACCACCGATCGGAAGCCCAGAAGTGAAGGAAAAAGTATTCCGTACAACACCAAAAATCACAACCGCGTAGTTGGGGCCTTCAACCGAAATCCGAACGCCTCCGTTAGGGATGTGGCTAAGAAGCTGCACCTAAGCCGAAGTTTTGTCCAGAAGGCCAAAACTAAGGCTGGGCTTCGAACGTTCAAGGTACAAAAGGCCCCTAATCGCGACGAGAAGCAGAACAAGTCCGCCAAAACCCGTGCCAGGAAGTTGTACCTCAACATGCTGACGAAAGTTGAATGCTGCATCATGGACGACGAAACATATGTGAAGGCCGACTTCAAACAGATCCCCGGCAACCTGTTTTTCACGGCCAAGGATAAGTTCAGCGTTCCGGAGCATGTCCGCACTCAGTTTGACTCCACTCCTGGTTTGACAAGCCATCTGCACGTGCGGGAAGCGGAGTGCACCTTTCGTGACCCAGGACACGATGAACGGACAGGTGTACATAAAAGAGTGCCTCCAGAAGCGGCTGCTTCCTCTCCTGAAGGCCCACAACGTCCCAACAATCTTCTGGCCGGATTTGGCCTCATGCCACTACTCCAAGGACGTGCTGAAGTGGTATGCGGACAATAAGGTCAATTTCGTGCCGAAAATGTTCAACCCTCCCAACACTCCGGAGCTCCGCCCCATCGAGAAGTACTGGGCGATTATGAAGCAGCACCTTCTTAAACGACCTAAGGTAGTGAAGACAGTCGAGGAACTGAAGAAAGTATGGGTTTACATGCAAAAAACGGTTGATTCACAGGTTGTGCAGAATCTTATGGCCGGGGTTAAGGCCAAGGTGCGGGCATTTGCGTATGGACTGTAAATAGAATACGAGTAAAATGGTAAAATGAAGTTTAATAGTTATTTCTCAATCCCTGAAAATTTGATGGCAATCGGATGAAAACTCGAATTTTGCAAATCAATTTTGTGTGTGGCAATTTCATCGTGGACACCCTTTAATTATGTGGCAAAAAATTATAATTTTAGAGCAAAATCAATACTAACTCATTTATTTTGCTATCTAGTGTGCTATGACTTGCATCTAACTTATGTGTATTGATGGTTTGAACAACTTTTTAGAACATTTCAAACCAGTAGAAGTTTAAAGAAA